AGGAAGAAACACACACAGACACACCAGGCGTTAAGAGTCTACGGGGGTGAAGGGGTTGGACGCCGTACTACTCCCTGACATCTCATAGCCGAGCCTTCACGCTTGGGTTCTGCCACTTCTGCAACTTTTGAAATGTCGGCGGCACTCGGCCTGGCAGGACATTGTCAACCTTCAGGCGACCTGTAACATCATCATATGGTCTCTTCTACTTAGCGTATGAAGCTGCAACGCGCCGGTGCGGGATCTATCTAAGAGGCCTCCCGTTTGCACAACATCCAACATTGAAATTCTGGGGCAAGGGGAGACACATCGAGTAAAGATGAAATCTAAAGCCAGCAGCCAGACTACAGACACAGTAGTTGCTGAATGGCAAACTTCCTGTGAGACACATGGACCTGCCATTCTCTCTCAAACATTGATGTCTGTACTAAAGCTTCCGGCAACATAAGAAAGCATCAACCCAACGGGAAAAGACTAGAGAAAAGCACGTTGGCTGCCAGTACTCTAGCATGCTCTGTTTTCATATGTACGAACCCCGAACAAATTCAGAATACGCGTCCAATCAGACAGTTTACAATGGCAGGAACACTTCAAGTGGTAAAGCTCTGGCATGCTGGTTTTTCATATGTACAAACCTCAAGCAAACCGTGTTCAAACCTCAAGTCTATGGGGCCGGACCATGCCATCAGGTGCAACCGGATTTAAAGGAAAGTTCAATTAATTTCTTTTTTGCGCTCGGCAACTGTAGATTTCCTCCGCTGCCTAGAATTGAAGTTTGATTGGGGTTTGTACATATGAAAAAACAACAGATCGAAGGTGTGCTCATGGCATGGCTTTCTCCAATAGAATGCGGGGCACAGAGATGTTTTCAAAGTATGTCTGGAGTTTGTACATATGAAAACACAGCACATCGAAGGTGTCACCAAGAAAGTGCTCATCCCTCAATGAAATGAGCTGCGTGCAGACATCAACAAGGTTTGTTTGAAGTTTGTACATATGAAAATACAGCAGAAGGAAGAGGAACAAAGCGTTGCAAACAAACGGACGGGTAAAGAATAGATGATCAAGACGTACGGGAAGCGAGGTGTATGCAAATCCGCCTACATGGAATTTCCCGGTGCAAGCATGCGACTCCAACTACATAACCTTGAAGCAAATCCAAATCATTGATACGCTTGTCGCCAAATTTCGTAAAGCCCATAATGCCACGCCACGGCATGACACTTTCAAGACACCAGGACAAGCTTCTCCAAACCCCAGGAACTTTGGAGACACTTGGAAGTACCTCTGCAGTTCCGTTGCATCGTCTTGAAGCCTGGAAGGCAGCATGTGTCAACTCATGGATACACCGTCATGGAGCAGCCTGTGGCAAGGGATTTGTTTCAGAGCTTAGCTGCCGGAATCATGCTTGTAGAACCATAGCAGAGCAGCGATAACTCACTCTGCTCGCATCCTGCCGCTTCCAACACAAGCCAAGCGGGAATTATCTACCACAAACTCCACAAAAGACAAGTTTTGGCTCCAAACTTGAAGCCAAAGTTTGGTCCCAAAAATGAAGCAATTTTTGGCTTCGCCTAATGAAACAATAGAAGCGGCCTTCCAGAAATTGAAGCTAAAAATGGCTTCCGTCAAAAGAAACACAAACGGTCCAAAACGAAAAGAAATGCCGCGGCGCCAAAAAAAGATTTCCCAATGAGTGTGCCCAGCAACCCTTTCACAGATGCTCGCATAACCGAGCCATGTGTCTAGCATAAAGTTCCATTCTTAAACAGCGAAGCACGTAACTCTCTTCATGCGTCATCATGCCGAAGTAAAAACAATATACTGGTTTTTTCTATGTCATGTTGGCACTGAGGAGGTACACACATTAGTCTCCAGCATCACAATATTTTCCGAGGCTTGAATTGGATTCAATGAGCTCCCCCCCTGCCCCTAACGCCACTGTTGACACAGATATAAGCAGCCATGTCTGAACCAACAAATTGAGAAGGCCGGCGGAGTAATTCCAAGAGGCGTCCACATGCTTCAGCCAATAGAGAAGATGTGGAGTAAATATGGAGTAGACCATCCGCGGAGTAAAAAAAGCAGAAATATATGGCAGGGCCAATACAAAATGCGTGGAGTAATTTCGGCCCGTTTTAAGAATACACTGTTATTTATGGTGGACTAGAATTACTCCACGGCCAGTTCAAGCAGGAAGAAACACACACAGACACACCAGGCGTTAAGAGTCTACGGGGGTGAAGGGGTTGGACGCCGTACTACTCCCTGACATCTCATAGCCGAGCCTTCACGCTTGGGTTCTGCCACTTCTGCAACTTTTGAAATGTCGGCGGCACTCGGCCTGGCAGGACATTGTCAACCTTCAGGCGACCTGTAACATCATCATATGGTCTCTTCTACTTAGCGTATGAAGCTGCAACGCGCCGGTGCGGGATCTATCTAAGAGGCCTCCCGTTTGCACAACATCCAACATTGAAATTCTGGGGCAAGGGGAGACACATCGAGTAAAGATGAAATCTAAAGCCAGCAGCCAGACTACAGACACAGTAGTTGCTGAATGGCAAACTTCCTGTGAGACACATGGACCTGCCATTCTCTCTCAAACATTGATGTCTGTACTAAAGCTTCCGGCAACCTAAGAAAGCATCAACCCAACGGGAAAAGACTAGAGAAAAGCACGTTGGCTGCCAGTACTCTAGCATGCTCTGTTTTCATATGTACGAACCCCGAACAAATTCAGAATACGCGTCCAATCAGACAGTTTACAATGGCAGGAACACTTCAAGTGGTAAAGCTCTGGCATGCTGGTTTTTCATATGTACAAACCTCAAGCAAACCGTGTTCAAACCTCAAGTCTATGGGGCCGGACCATGCCATCAGGTGCAACCGGATTTAAAGGAAAGTTCAATTAATTTCTTTTTTGCGCTCGGCAACTGTAGATTTCCTCCGCTGCCTAGAATTGAAGTTTGATTGGGGTTTGTACATATGAAAAAACAACAGATCGAAGGTGTGCTCATGGCATGGCTTTCTCCAATAGAATGCGGGGCACAGAGATGTTTTCAAAGTATGTCTGGAGTTTGTACATATGAAAACACAGCACATCGAAGGTGTCACCAAGAAAGTGCTCATCCCTCAATGAAATGAGCTGCGTGCAGACATCAACAAGGTTTGTTTGAAGTTTGTACATATGAAAATACAGCAGAAGGAAGAGGAACAAAGCGTTGCAAACAAACGGACGGGTAAAGAATAGATGATCAAGACGTACGGGAAGCGAGGTGTATGCAAATCCGCCTACATGGAATTTCCCGGTGCAAGCATGCGACTCCAACTACATAACCTTGAAGCAAATCCAAATCATTGATACGCTTGTCGCCAAATTTCGTAAAGCCCATAATGCCACGCCACGGCATGACACTTTCAAGACACCAGGACAAGCTTCTCCAAACCCCAGGAACTTTGGAGACACTTGGAAGTACCTCTGCAGTTCCGTTGCATCGTCTTGAAGCCTGGAAGGCAGCATGTGTCAACTCATGGATACACCGTCATGGAGCAGCCTGTGGCAAGGGATTTGTTTCAGAGCTTAGCTGCCGGAATCATGCTTGTAGAACCATAGCAGAGCAGCGATAACTCACTCTGCTCGCATCCTGCCGCTTCCAACACAAGCCAAGCGGGAATTATCTACCACAAACTCCACAAAAGACAAGTTTTGGCTCCAAACTTGAAGCCAAAGTTTGGTCCCAAAAATGAAGCAATTTTTGGCTGCTTATATCCATATCCCCTGTAGGCTTGGTTCATGGGGTGCCTAAAGTCTAGGTGCCAGAATTTTGGCGCCTAGCTCCTTTTGCTTGCATGAATTCCTCAATGCTAATGTTTTGGCATATGTTTAGCTGCATGAATTTGTCCAGCCCTATGTTTTGGCAGATACTTGCCCATTTCAAAGACCGACCCCGTTTAACATAGGAACTCCATGGCCAACATTGAAGGGTTGAAAAAACAGGTAAAGATTCAATGAAGATAATTAATTATATAATGATCTTGTTGGGACAATGGTTCAAATCGTTCAGGAAATCCAGGTAAACAGACATAGCGACATAGCGTAGTACAAATGAACAATGAGCAACACAATCTGGACTATTGCAGCGGCTACTTACCAAAGGGTGGCGGGTGACAGTTGACAGATCACTACTTGATACTATAGCATTCTTGACCATAGACCATATGTATATGATTACTAGGATTACAACGGTGATTCAGCTTTCACTACTGCAGGACAAAGATAAATAAATGTCCGAGGGTCCCAAAACAATTCAGGCAAAGATAGAAGATGCACCTTGCAACAGATTTGTTGGTGTCGTTGAAGGTCCTTTTGGCCACTAGGACGTGAATTCTGCAAGAGGAACTGGAATCAAACAATGAAAATGGGTAATGTGGGAATGAGTGACTCTGACCATTATCCTGGCTCACAGGCCTCTTGGCCCACACTCTAACGCAACACCCAAACAAGAAACGTGTTCAGTGGCCACATGGCCATTTAGCCCCACAGGCAACATGCCACAGAGCACCACTCTTTCGGATTTTCCTTGCACAATACATTGCCACGGCAAATCAACCCCGCATGCCGTTGGCCGGTTGTCGGCTGTCGTCATTGAAAGCCGGCACGATGTACAACCTCAGAAGCTCGAAGGACCGCAAGGACCATGGTGAATCAGCTTTTGCAGGTTCTGCACTGACACATTGAAGTGTTGATGCCACAATCAAGAAATCTGACCATGCGAACAAATAGATCTTGCACGCTGAGCTGGTCAATGTCCATGGGCATGAGAAGAAACATCCAACACTTGAAAGCGCACGCATTCCAAGCAAAGAACGAAAATGAATGTTGCACGCTAGCGACTACGAGGTGCCTAAAATACCCTTATTAGTCTTAAGTCTCTATTAATACGCTGGACGGCAAAAAAGGCAATCACGTGACAAGTTGAAACAACACACATGTTTTTCTCCTCTCACCGCTTTTGTTCCTTGCAGCAAGGCAGGGAACGGTACATGTTGCCAATAATTTGGCTAACGAACTGAATTTAGGCTTTGGATCGAGTTTCGTCAAGATCCATCTAGAATCCAAATCCCAAAATGGGACTCCAACACTTCTTTCAGTCGCAACTGTCACAAAACCCTCAGTGCAGTCACGGTGTGGGATCTGAGATCAAACCACACAAAAACAAGGGGGGGCAACCGTTGAATGACGTTTGTCTGTCATTTCATGCCTGGAAAAGCGACTCAATTCATCAAGTGTGAAACTTCTTTGCCCGTGTTGCCTCTGTCAGCCAGCAATTCTCTGTTGTTCTTGGTCGTTGGCTTAATCTTTGCAGGGTCCTTGAAGATCTCCTCAGCGGTCTTGCCACCGAACGTGTAAACCATGTTGTCACCCTTGGCCGCAGCTTGAAGACTCTTCCTTGAAAGGAAGGGTGGCCGAGTGATCTGCACCATGCTGTCTTCGGCGCCAGTCTTTCGCTTCTTTGCCTGCACTGCATGGAAATATCTTCCAGGGATCCTATGCATCGGAACTGCTATCTATCCAACTGTCTAACTACCTCTTGAATACGAATGAATTTCGAATATCTAGTGGAATTATTTCACGGAATACTTTGTGTAAGTTGTCTAAATTAATTTAAACTTTAAACAACCATGTAAGGATCTAACATCAATATCGACATATATATATATGTATACATATGAACAAGACACTACGACAATACGCAAATGATTCAAAATCCACTGTTGGATTTAGACCGTTAGAATGCCATGTCCTTGGCCATCTCTTTCTTCTTCTGCCACTCATCCAATGGTCGAGCATGAAGGTATGGAAGTTCTAATTCGAGCTCAAATGTTTTCTCCGGGTCAAACCTCGACAACAACCCAACAATCCAGAGCGCAGAGCTCAACCAAAAGAAAGGGCCAGTCAAGAGTTAATTTCAGGCAAATTCACATCTGCGCCCGTCATCGCTTCAGAGAAAATTTCATAGTAATCTGCAGTTTTAAGTTTGAGGGCTGCTCGCAAGTAAATGAATCACAAGTCTGTAGTCAGTCCTGTCAGTCCATCTCAGCCCAGTCATTCACATGTCAAGTCTGTTGTTAGAGTCATCTGAGTCAACTGAGAATTGTCACTCTGTATTTTGAACCTGAGGAAACTGAGCCGCCCACAAGGACGCCACCTTCAAAGTGGCTTTCTCAGTGGATTTCACCATAGTGCTGGTGGATGCTTCATCGTCGGAATCATCATCATGGCTGCCGACGACTTTCATCAGCCACGCTGCGCAAGGAACCTGGGATGTCATCCTGTCATACCCATTGGGCCCACAGTAGAAGCTGATGCCGCACGGCCCATTGACATGCTTGAGGCTGGCCACCTGTTGACATGTTAGAACCATGCAGTTCAGGGTCCCTGGGGCATCAGCATTGTTTTGTCAACTTGTCTGTCAGTCCACAAGTGTCCTGCCCACGAAATATCAAGACCTACAGTACACTTGCTGAATCAAAAGCCTTTTTCCTGACTTGCTGACCCCGAACCCATTCCAACAGAAAAGCGAGCCGACAAAAACAAACTTCTCATACTGCCCACCGCTGCTACTAGTCGCCTTGATGGTCTTGTTGCTTGCTTCCATGCTGATCTGCCCAAAGACATAGATTCGGTGTTTGCTGGAATCTTCAAATGGAGATCTCCGCTTACACATCACCATGCTCTTAGCATAGTTCAAGGTCACATGTTCCAAGGCCGATCCCCACTCGGACCTCAGGGAAAAGGGGAGTGGATGGCAATGGGTGGCAACGGTACGAGTGAGTCTGAGCAGAGAATGAACAAACAAAAAAAAGTTCATTCGCAGAAGGAAGGAAGCGACAAGCATTGCGAAAACCCCGAGGTAGCCCTAGTAGTCCAAAGAAGATCTGAATGGGTAAATCATTCCTATCTTGGGTCTCCATGTTACTTTCAGAGAGGGTTGTTCAGCAAGTAGGTAAGTTAAGACATGACATCATGACATTGGTTCTATTGTGGATGCCGTGATTGCAGATGGCGAGCCACATTGCACGCTTCATGAGGAAAAACTCCAGCTCCTTTTTCACGTTCATAAGGTCAACGATGTGAATGGGCTCAACCAACCCAGCTTCCGAGAAGGTGTAGACAGATTTCATGGTCACTGTCATCTCTGTCATGTCAATCTCTCCGCTTGCACGAGCCTTTTCCATGAATCCCACCAAACGCCTGACGCGCAAACAATTGACAGACATTGGGGTTTGGTCCGAAACCCATGCTCCCATGATTCGCATGTCCAAATTTAGAAAGACATTAGACGATTAGGCCTGTAGGCTGTACAAGCTGGTAGGTGCATTTGCATATGATACGGCCTTTTGCACATGCAAATGGGAAGAAAGCACGTTTGTACTGCCTCAATGCCTTCTGTCGTGACATGTAAGCTGTTTGCTCTCTCTCTCTCTCTCTTTCTCTCTCTCTCTCTCTTCATATATATATACATACATACATATCTATATCTATATCTATATCTAAATACAACTGTGTGCAGTGCGCGCATAAGTTTTCCTCTTTTCCTGCATTATATCCACCCCAGGGAAGGGTTGCCTGCGTGGGGAGATGCCACTTAACATGTACTACTGAAAGATCCACGAGGGATTGGGAGGGACGGGAAGATTTTCGAGAGTTGGCTGAAGTATCGCAACCATTGCACTCAACAGTTGAAAATGTGCACCCACCTGCCCAACTATTATATATATTTTTGTTTATTGCTGATAAATGTATATATATATATAAATAAATATATATATAACTAAATTGATTTATTTGTTTATTTATTTACTGAATATATATATATTGATCAATACATATATATATTTAAATTTATTGATGATCATAAATACTGATGAATATATATATACATATATATATACACATATATATTAGATATATATATATATATTGATAATTTATTATATATATATTTAATTATTTTTAGATATTGATGATTATTATCAAAATATATATTGATGATTATATATATATATTGATAAATATAAATATATATATGTATATAGATATATTGATATCACAATGTATATGTATAAACAGATATATGTATATATATATATATATAAATTGCCAAATAGAAATATTCTGATATATATATATATTGATTTACTGATTTACATATATGTAAATTGACATGTATATATATATATTGATATAGAGATATAATTTGATATCTATATAAGTAGTTTAATCGTAGCCACATATATTTATATATATATTCATTCATTAATGTGAAAAATCTTTGCATGTGGAAGTATTTTGTACATACATATATGAATATGTTTTTATATCTATATATTGATTTACTGGTAAATAAATTTAAAAAATGAATTAAATATAGAGATTGAAATTTACATAAATAAATATTATATATATGATATATACTTAAATATGTAAGCTTACTTTTACTAGATATATGCATACTATATATATATTGATATATATATATATACATATATTGAGATATGATCTGAGATATGTATATATATATATATACACATTGAGATATGTGTGTATAAATAAATTGATATATATATATATACGCATAAATATTGATATATATATATATATAGAGAGATATGTATATATATATTGAGATATGTTTATATATCTTTTATATATACATATGTATGATATCGCTACTTCGAACCCAATGTGATACACACGACACATCTAATAGAACATCAAAACGTCAGCCATTGTTATAAACATTGCCTTTTCGAGTTTGGTTCATCTGCGGGGTCGTCATCTTCGTCCCTGGTCCTTGACTTCGATGGCACTGATTCCACTGCATCTACATCCACAGCTTTCCCGTCTTCATCAGCCTGTGTGCTCACAGGCGAGCGTTTGACGGATACCGTGCCAAACAAACCAACCAATAAAATAAAATTACTTTACTTCGGGTGATCCCCACCCTAACATTGGCACATATTCTGGCAGTCTATCTGGCATATATTCTGGCAGTCTTTCTGGCATATATTCTGGCATTCCATCTGGCCGCTGAGGTCCATCGGTTGCCCACTGAGCTCGGAAGGTCCCAGGTTGAGGTCCAGCGGTGCCCACTAAGCTCGGAAGGTCCCCCCACTGCGCTCAGAACCTTGCGGTTGAGGTCCAGCCGTGCCCACTCAGACCGGAAACCGGCAGTCGAGGTCCAGAAGTGCCCACTGCGCGCGGAAGTTGGCGAAGAGTTGGCAAGGCGGAAGTGGGCGTGGAAGTGGAGGCAGAGGCGGTGGAGGAGACGGAGGAGGACGAGGACGAGGAGGAGGAGAAGGACAAGGAGGAGGAGCAGCCGGAACAGCTGTGATAAAATCTAACAACCCTCACCTGGCAGGTGGGGAACAAACACACGGCCGCAGTTGTTCCTGCAGTCTTCAGAATTCAATTTCGAATACCCTTGTTGGACGTGTTGGTGCTTCCTAAAATTAAACATTCAACAGTAGTGGAGGCGTACAGCTTTTTGCACTAAAATGAGAACCTTGGTAGATCTTCCAAATCGACCGGGGTGTGAATTTAGATTCCTAATGCCCTTTTTTGTTATCTAATTGCATGTAAAACCAACGGTGGTGGGAATCTAAATTCCTTATTCCCTCAGAAACCTGGTTGATCTTCTCAATGTACTTAGCTGAATTTATAGTTCCAAAACCTTCATTGCCTCATTGATTCATTGAATGTCTTTTATGAATGTAAGTTTACCGGCAAATACCTTTCTTGATCTTCCCAGCTGAATCTAAAGCTGAACGGTGGTGGGAATTGGTCTGTACATATACACAAACACTTCAAATTAATTTGATAACCCTCGTTGATTCGTTGATTGATCTCCCCAGGTCCCCCACTGACAGGGCTGGCAGAAATTTGACCTCCCAATGCCCCCTTTGATCTTCTCGTAAAAAATGCGGTGGTGATAAATTCCTATTTGATAACCTTCGTGGTCTTCCCAAATGTTAAAGGGGAGCTAGGGGGGGTGGGAAATTGTTTTCCACTTGAATGCTATCGCTGCGATTCGCTGATCTTCCCGCATGGATCAAGCGTTAACGGTTTTCGATATGGATGATGGGAATGTACAATGCTTAGATCTTCGCACTTGATTGTAAAGCTCAATGAGGGTGGGAATTATTCTCCTAAAAGTAGAATATCAAAATTAAATATGATGATACCCTCATCGCCCTCTCGGTATGTAAATTTTGATGCCCATACTGAACTTCCCCGTTCAATGGCATAGAATAAAAACCTATGAGCTTCATACTCAGCATCATCCCAAATCGGCGGGTCCGGGCGTATAGATACATACAAGGGACATACCTGTATACATGTATTCATATGAAAACAGGCCTGCTTTGTAATTCCACGGGGCACCACATCTACAAGGAATAATTTCCAATATACCCTCAAACTTCATAGCCTTTGCAACATGTTTGCATCAACAGCTGTCCTACTTTGCGCGTGCTCGATCCTGTTGTTCCAGAGTTGTAAAAACGTAGATCATCAGTGCACCGGTATGCTTGTCACACTGAATTGCCCAAAAACTCATATTGTAGAGATGAGGATCCATACAGGGGGCAATTTCTAGTTCTTACATTACATTGAGATGTTGCATGCCACGTAGTGTGCCGCACCGCGTGGCATGGCGCGCAGGACTCATCCTTCTTTCATCTTGTTTGCAAATGGCGATTTCGCGTGCTTCATGATATGGCCTGAAGATGTCCATGCTGGCACGTGTCCCGACATTATACCCGGCTTACAGCACTTCACTACAACTCCCTTCATCATCGCCACCATCACCACCAATATCATCATCATCACCATCATCATCATCATTATCATCATCCTCATCAGCATCACCATCATCATCATCATCACCATCATCATCATCATCAATGTTCTCATTACCTACACCATCAACATCATCACCATCATCAACATGAATCATCAGCACCATCATCAGCTACCGAGCACCAACCACCAACCATCAGCCATCAACAATCATCAGCTGCCATGGTCATCATCATCATCTTCTTCATCATCATCGCCATCACCATCATCACCAACATCATCATCACCATCATCGTCAAACATCAACCATCAACCATCAATCACCAACAACAATCAACCATCAAGAGTCATCAGCAAGCAGTTGTCATCACCATCATCATCATCATCATCATCATCATCATCATCATCATCATCGAGTCATCATATCTTCCGCGCATTCACAACAACATCCACCTTTTCATGGTCACATTGCCATCATCATCACCATCGTCATCATCATCATCATGGTTGCAATAACCGTTAAGTTACCATCAACAGTAGCAGCTGCATTGTCACCTTCACTCCAAATTTCATTTGACACAGCGCAAACACAAATCACATGATCACGTCATCAGATCCAATCAAATCACACCGCCAAGGCAGTCGCAAGCTATTTCGCCATCATCATCATCATCACCACCGAATCATCCGCCCAGTTGTTAGCCACTGACAAGAAAGAACCTCCCGGCCTGGCCTCTTCTTTGACTCGAAAGGGTTCTTCAATTTCGTCGCTGAAAAGGTCAGAGAGTGCGGGCAACATGCCGGTGGCACCCAAAGTGTGAAGGATTGTCTGCCAAATGCTGCCCCAAACGGTTGCATCTGCACCGGTCATGCACAGCTTCCCTTCCACAAGCGCCAAGACTCCACTTCCCCGGCCGCGTAGGCCCCGTAGAACTTCAGGCAGCTTCTTGACATCAGTCAGAGCGTCGAAGTAACATTCATCGATGTTCCGGATCATCTCCAAGACATCCTTCAAAACATCACACTTTAGGTCAGCAAACGCGACAGATATACCTGAAATACGGTGATGGGAAGATGCTGAAGGAAGCTACCCAGTGGCTCAGAGTACTGCTTGACGCAGTGGGTCTGACGTGGTATAAGTTTAGAAACATCTATGCATCCCAATCGAATGTATTTCAGGCTTGCGCAGTGCGCCCGCAAGGTTTTCACTGTAGAGCCGATGGAGAGGAACATGCGACAAGTGAGGTGAAGCAATTGACCACTGGGCGCAAACCAGCCAAGACGAGGTAGGCTCAAAATGAAACTGACTCAGCTGAATCAACTTCAATAGGGAAGACACCAAGAGCGCGCGAAATATCAATTTCACAAGTGCGGCTGCAATGCCTTTGCCCAGCTTATCGAAGGTCGAAAGTCTGAAGGAAACCGGAGCTTGGCTACTATAATGTTGGTAATTAAGTGTGCAATGTTGATTAGTTGGTTGCGTCCAATCATCCAATGGTCATACTTGCAGGGTGAGAAGTGACAAGGTTTGACGGTGACAAGGCATTATCAAGTAGCGACGAACAACCTGTCCACCCGTCCTGAAGACCTTCACGAAGATACGCCCCACGAATGCTCAAGAGAACGTCCAGGGCTTCTGCATTGGGAACGTCAATCATCTTTCCGTCGGGCTCCTGAGAAGCTTGGGAAAAGGCGCTGTAGTATGGAACATGAAGAAACATTTGCTCATCACTGGTATGACTGGAGATATTTTCTTATCATCAAACCAACTCAAAGCAGCCACTGCAATGTCATATCGGTGTCATATCAGATGTACCAATGTCTGCTTGTAACTTGTAACTGCCCATGTTCGATACCGACCACCTTTCGAAAAGGAAACAGCAAGTACCGCTCAAACTAGAAGAACACAGTGGGGCTGCAATAGGAACAGCGTTGCTGCTGTTTGTTGCTAATTGTTCGGCCTGCCGCTCAAAATGGAAAATGGACAAGTCACACTGCACACTCACCATCATCGCTAAAAACCTCAGACTCACACACCGTGATCATGATCGAATGAACTAGCCTGGCCCTTTGTTGGCTAGGCCAGCATGAGAAGTGCCTAAGCTGCCTGACTTGCTCAGCCTGTTGATGGATGGATTTAGCTTGAGTCGGTATGAATTGGTGTGATATCATGACTATAAACTTATAAACTTATAAACGATCACGATTGCCCCATGGCCATGATGGCATTGTCTCCTCCTTCGCCTTCATCAGCAGGAAGCTACAAGTAGGTGGATAGTGACAGGAATCCTCTCCAAGGTCCAACCGCCCTTTTGCATCCTCATGAATCATGCTCAGCCCCATTGCCACAGTTGGCACGTATGCCGGTATGGATTCAAAGATCGCATCAGCCGTGTGGTACATGATGTCCCCCAAGGTCACAGTAGAGTAAAGGGAGCTATCTAAGCCGTGCATCGGGCACTTCGGTTCCCTTTTCGTCAGAGAGCACTTGCACAGCTCATTCTTCAACTTCGTCTTGAACCTAGCAAATGCTGGCTGTGCGGAAATATCCTTGGAGTCATTTGTCCTGATCCAAGCTTGGACTTGATCGCAAGCATCTTTGCTCTTGGCTGCTGTCACAGGCAAAGATTCTGGCTTTTTGCTTTCAGACGACGAGTCAGTCTGCATCTGCCCAAGCAAGCGCTTGATGATATCCTCTGAATCGCCAGGTGGTAGCACTGCGTGGACTTTGTGCATCATGTCTTGCAATTGCGGTCGTACCTGTGACATGCTGCTTGCAGCAGGTGAGGTGAGGCTGAGGCTGCGATCTAATCTAGATCTACTCCTCTATTCAGAATCACACATCACATCCTCTATTTCACCCAATGCCCAGGGAACCTACTACACACCGACAATGTACCATCTATAAGACCCTGCTGTATTGTAATTCCTGTACCGCTGGCACCACCTATAGACCTACAGACCTACAACTTGCAGCCTACCTGTCATAGCTTGAAAAAACGTGGCCAGTGGTAAAGGCCATGGGGCCATGAGCTTATAGTTGCTCTGTGTCCCTCTGTCTCACGGTTCTCTCAAGCACATGCGACAACCTACCCTACGACTGCGACTTACAAGTTGCAAAACATGTGTCGCGTACAGTCATGATAAGTTTCTTGTCGGGAAGGAAGCATTCGGAATTGAAGTCTATTCTACCAAATCCAACCAATTTAGTTGGCTGGGCTAGGATCTCTTACTGGCCGACATCTTGCTTCAAGGTTTGCGCATAGGCATAGGTATCATCTAAGGTCAAGGTTTGCAAGTCTCATCCCTAAGGTGACCGAACAAGAGGTAGAATTTGCAGCCACAACTCCGCAATCATCTCCTAGAAGTAGAACCCCGCCTGACTCCAGAGCTTCAACTGCTTCTGGTTGATGGTGACAGTCTTGTACCAGCAAAACTCCAAAGCATAGGACACGCAGGTTTGGAATGTCTTTCGCAATGAGTCATCAGCAAGGATCGAAGCTGGGGTTCCTGCGACTGGAGCGTCAAGAAAATGAAGGTGATGATGACGATGAATCTGGAAATACCCGGGGTAACTACGCCCATGCAGTCTGCAGGTGCACTCAACATAATCATTAACTAAGCTATGGGCATACCTGCTTGCCAACTGTCAGTGAATCACTGAGTAACAGCATCAATATGTACAGCGTTTTCTTTTGTCATCATTGTGCTATATAGTATATAGTATATAGTATATAGCTACTTGTGAAGGAGCTGAAATGCAGGACCTCATGCTTTAGCTTTAGATTGCACCCCCTGTGAGGGCCCCATTCCAGTTTCTGTCCTTTGGCTGCACGCAACAGGCATCCCAAGAGATCATCCAGCCACCAGCGCGGTCGTGAATCAGCCATGCTCATCTTCACATCCCCCTCGACATCCTCTCTGTCTTCTTCAGGGTTCACGCCAGAAATAGCAGCAGCCTTTGCCTTTGCTTTTGCCTTTGCCTTGCCTTTGGCCTTTGGCCTGGCTTTGCTCTTTGGCCCACTGTCTCCCTGGCCCTTCATGACTTTGTTGACCCAGGCAGCACCAGCCACTGGCGTCTTCAGGCGTTCGAAGATTGCAGGGTTGTTCTTGCCAAAGATCGAGGCTGAGTCAGGCAAACGACGCAGCTCATCATCCAAGTCAAGTGCGGCCAGAAACTTGCACCCTTCCATGGCCACCAAACCAAGCAAGCCGGAATCATGAGAAGGCCCAAAGCTGGTGGACAACACCGCTGCGAAGGCAGACATGTTTTGCAAGATGGTCAGTGTGCTTTCTCCTTCTGGGTGTTCAGCATGAACACCAAAGTAGTTGCACCATTCATCCAAGGTGTTCATGTCTCTCAAGTCATGGTTGAGCCGCTTTGCGATGTCATACTGCTGTCCCGTCTTGTAGCGCTCGCTCCAATTTTCTCGGATGTAGCTGTACAACTCTTGCTGGATCTTGCAATTGCGGTGGGTCATCTGCTTGAAGTCGCAGTAGGATCTCCATGCCTCACTTTGACCGACCAGGGATGCTGAGGGTTTCCGGGATTCAGAATCATGTTTCTGAGCCGCCGCAGAAAGGCAGTGTCAGCAGCGATCTAGGCAGTAGTAGGTAGGCAGTAAATCTTTCCAAGCAAACATGATGAAATTGTATAAAGGAGCCAAGGTTGGGGACAGACTGACAACGGATACAGTCGGTGTCTAGGTAGGCTAGAAAGTCTACAGTCTAGAGTCTGCAGTCTAAAGAGTCTAGCGCAGATCAAAGTCAAGCCAAGTCAAATGGAGGCAAAGATTCGAAAGCACAAAAGACAAATACACATATACCAAGTGTGAAACAAAAAAAGGGGCGAGGTATATGCACATTGTTTGCTTGAGTCACATGGTGAGTATGATAATGTGATAGCAAACCCCCTCCCAACTCGGCCGGTTGGTGTCACCCGACAGTCCCACAGTCAAGCGCCAACTCTGCGTGACTTGAAAGCTGAAGCGTTGAAGTTCAACTGAAACAAGTTGAAGGTTAAAGTATTCAAGGGTAGGCTTGCAAGAAACAAACTGCAGAATGTCCCAATGTCTCACTGTCACTGTTTCATCGTTTCATTGTTTCGCTGTGTTTCATCAAGGCCTCTGGGTCAGTAACTCAGTGTTGATGAGCTGGTGAGCTGACGAGCCGATGAGTTGATGTTTCATGATTCATGTTGCCCTAAGTCAAACTTACCTACCTTACTCGGCAACTTGGTGCCCACTGCTGCTTTGCAGACTGGGAAGTGGTAAGTGTTTGAATAAGTCGAAGCCGTCAAAAACAAATGCAAGGCAGTGCAATGCAAGGTGCTTTCTCCACTTCTCCAATTCCCTCAACCGCGTCATTGAATGTAATGGAAAGGCCATCATGGAAGGAATTGTGGAGATCGCGCAAGTACCTTTCAAGCTCATGCGCTCGGTCAGCCCTCAGGATGCCAAGCGTCCCGAAAAAAAAATCATTTGTCAGACTTGTCAGGTGGTTCATGGGTCCATGCTTCAATGGTTCAACGCTGTTGTTTGGCTTCTCTCTCCTCTCTCTCTCTCTCTCTCTCTCTCTCTCTCTCCCTCTCTCCCTCTCTCTCTCTCTCTCTCTCTCCCTCCTCTCCCTCTCCTTCTCTCTCTCTCTCTTCTCTCTCTCTTCTCTCTCTCTCTCTCTCTCTCTCTCTCTCTCTCTCTCCTCTCTGGGCTCCTCTCTCTCCTCTATCTCCTCTCTCTCTATCTCTCCCTCTCTCTCTCCCTCTCTCTCTCTCTCTCTCTCCCCCCTCTCCCCCTCTCCCCCTCTCCCCCTCCCCTCTCCCCCCCAGTCCTGCCCCCGCCCCCCCTCTACTCCGGTCAGAAATAACTCCCTCCCTCCCTCCCTCCCTCTCCCTCCCTCCCTCCCCTCCTCCCTCCCTCCCTCCCTCCTCTTTCGGGAACATCGACAGAAGCATCAGCAGCATCAGCATCATCGCCAATCATCACCACAAGCAATCACAGCCATCATCATAAACATCACCACCACCATCATAATCATCAGCAGCAGCGTCAGCATCAGGACCAGCGTCATCACCATTATCAACCAAACAATCAAACAACGAAACAAACATTGTCATTGTCATCTGTCATGTGGCAGAAGGACTTGTTTCTAATACTCTCATGTTGGTAAAAGTGTGTTCAACACAATGGTTTGCAAATATAGTAACATTAAGATGGTATTGAAAGAGCGCCGGGTGGTTTTGGTTTAACGCTCGGGGATACGCATAAACAGAACCAAGTTTGTACTAAGATGTGGGAGACGGACTTTTAAGGCAAGAGAACAGGCAGGGACGGAAGTCAGACAAAGCTCATGCAGTATGAGCAGGTCACGCTGAGCAGTGTTTGAATCCGGAGGTGACCAAATACCACAGACAATGATCAGCAATGTCCCCCACAGGTCCCAAAAAAGGCCATTAAATTCAATGACATGAAGAAAGCACACGGGGTCAGAGTCCCGAATCTTCATTATTTAGTGACCAACATCATGATGGACGACTGACGACTGAGACCTGCCTATAGGAAAGGTTTTCGGCCAGTAGTGACAGGATAGGGCGTGTATAGGTATATATATTTTCTATGAAAAAGACTCAAGCGATGACGCCCGACACCAACCCAACACAGTACAGTCGGCACAGTGACTACTACAAAGCTAGTGCTAGTGGCACTACTAAGGCTGCTGTGAAGTGTTACGGTTCAGCAAGCCAGGCCAAGCCACATCAGAACTTCCAATGGGGTGCGGCTGTCCAGCACCCGCACCCCGCACAGTCCTTGTTCAAGAGTTGATCGGACCAACGGAGCGTCTGGAAAGTCTTCGTGAGCACGGTAGAATGCTTGGCTCCTAGGGCAGACGAGGAGACGAGCCAACCAACGCCATGCAAGTCGCACTAAAAAACCAAAGAGAAAGCGCAGTGGGAAAAACTATGATGCTGGCCAATAAATAATTACCTGACTACATGGACTTGAATTTTGCAGCTGCACTTGCAAGTTGCTGGTTTCAATCGAGAGTTCACATTCAAGATCTTTATTCAAGCTCATATGGCCCATGTGGCCAGGTGATTCAAACGTGATTGGCGATCTTGCTGCAACCGAAACTCAACGTTCCATAGCTGATGCACTCGTATTGATCCTTCTTTTGGTTGTAAACAACCCAGGGTTCACCGCGCACACCCTGCACTATACCTTTTTTTTTGATACTCAGGCTGTACTTCTTGATGCGGCTTCCAACCTTTCGCTGGTTGACCTCATGTCTGCAGATGTAGGGAGTTCCATCCGCCTTGAACCACGGGATTGACCGGACTTCACCAACCTGCCATGACGCTGCGTCAAAGAAAAAGTATCACGGAGCAGAGTCCTGAAAACCAGGTCGAATTCTGTAATCCTTTTGGTCACTATGGTCAAATGGTCAAACATCCTCATGACTGGCTGCCAAAGCATGACGTCATGGTCATGGTCATCAGCTGTCATTGTCAAAATGGCCCATACATGGACATGTACTGATTCATGCTGACTGATGGGCTGTGTTGTGGCTCTGGATTGTGAAGCACACCATAGCTCAAACGTTGAATCTATCTTAGTGATTCCGACGCCTTGGTTGTTTTCCTTGATGGATTCAGTATGATGCAAACAAACAACACGCGGACACTTCTTCAATCAACCTAAATCAAAACAGACAGGCTCAATACTTCTGGTCGCAGTATACTGCAC